AAATTTGAATTTTGAAAAATGAATTATATTTCTGGAAAACGTTTTCCGGAAAATGTTTTTCGTAAAATGAATTATATTTTTCTGAAAAATATTTGGAAAACGTTTACGATGTTTAGAAGATGTTGTTTAAACATTTTTTCCACTAGTTGATGAGTTTTTTCAAAATTATTTATTACAAATATTAAATACAATAAATAATATTATTTATCATAAAGCTTAATATTATTATTTTTAAAATATTAAAATAATTTATTTATTATTAAATATAATTTTATAATTTTATTAATAAAAATATTAATATTGATATATTTTATTGAAATAAAAATATTATAAATTATATTATTTATTTATTAAAGTAATAGTATTATATTATATTTTAAAAATATTAATTAGTATATTTTAAATATATTTATTAAAATATTATTAGATTATTATATTAATATTAAATAATATTATTCATTATTAAATATATAAATAATTTATTATATATTATTAAAATAAAAATATAATAACTTATATTATTATAATATAATTGATTATTTTATTATAATATTAAAAAAATAATATTATATTATTAGAAATATTAATAAATATATTTTAAATATTTTAATAATTAATATTTTGATTAAAATGATATTAAAATATTTTATTAATATTAAATTCATAAAATAAAATTATTTTGAGTATTTATTCTTTGAATTGAAAAATTCAGAAAATGACTTACGGAAAATCAGACCGTAATTCATTTTTCCAGAAAACAAAAAGGAAATTCTGTTGATCATAAAAATGTTTTACATTGACCAATTAGTTTTCCTCCAACTAAACACTGAAAAACATTTTTCGAAAAAAGAATTACTTAAAACAAACACGAAAAAATATTTTCTAAAAAACGAATTACGTGAAATAAACACTAAATTTCGAAGAAAACTAATTCTGTAATTCATTTTACGACAAAACCCTAAATTAAATTATGATATACAAAACTGACCTATAATTGAAAACTATTATTAAGTCGAGGCACGATGTGCAAATTCCAAGAAAACAAAGCACTAAAGAGTAAAGTATCTTTGCGTGCGCGCCAGTTAGAGAAGAAGACAACAGTAAACTCACTGAGTCTGACACAGTTTGAAGAAAGGCGAGAGGAAGGAGACTCTCCAAGCTCAAACAAAATCGGCATTTGTCTAAAAGTCGGTGGCAAGCTAGGGTTCCGAAGGAGAAACTAAAAATGGAGAAAGGAGGGGAAGAGCATGAGTATTCATATTCGTATTACAGGAGACAAGAAAGCATTGCATTGGTAGTCATTATAGTGCTTGCTTCAGTGGCTGTTGCTTCGCTTTTAGTGGCTTTTAGTTACTATTGTTATATTCGTAACAAGGTCCTCTCTAAGCGCTCCAAATCTCAATCTACTAGTAAGTGTTTCTTTTCTCGCTGATCCCATGGCTGCATAATATGTTTTCTATATTTGATTCATCTTGTTCAGTTTCTTATGATATGGTAAGTTGATTTTACGTTTTTGACAATAGTTTTATTTTAAAGTGCTTTTGACAATAGTTATTTTGGGTGTCTGGGTACCTGAGATTATGATAGTCTGAAGTAAGGGAAAAAGGATTTAAATTGCGTTTGGGTCGCATTTTCGGATGCGTCATGTTTATTGCGATTGCGCAATAGAGTGTGCGATTGTGGGTATTGCTATTGTGAAATAACAGTTTCGACTATACGATTACTGCTATATGACAGCCACAATTCTGGTAGCGAACTTATAAAATTTTAGTGGTGAACTTATAAAATTTTAGGGACAAAAACATATTATCAATAGAAAATATCTAAAATATATAAGAATTTGAAATTTTCTAGGATCCTGAATAAGTAACCATCAAAAGAGTTAAAATTGTTGCTTTAATTGTTGCCTTTTATGTAACTTTTGGGCTTTTGTCACTGAAGGACTTGATTCTAAGGACAAAGCTTGCAATGCCGATCTTGAAGTCGCTATGGATGACGGGCTTCACGTCTTTACTTTTAAGCAGTTACATTCAGCTACTGGTGGTTTCAGCAAGTCTAATGTGGTTGGCCATGGTGGATTCGGGTCTGTATACAGGGGAGTGCTTGGTAATGGCAGGAAAGTTGCTGTCAAGTTAATGGATCAGGAAGGAAAGCAGGGGGAAGAAGAATTTGAAATGGAGGTCCACTATGAATATCATTCTTATTTCTCTTTTCCAAGATTCTGATCTGTATTTCAAATGTGCCATGCACATGCTAACCAATCATCGATACATGATTCTGTTTACCTCATTCTTTACATTTCTGCTGGAAAAAAATGTATAATAAGAGTTGACAAAGATGTGATCTCCTTTGCATTAACTTTCCTTTTACTTCTGGTTTAGTTTAGATTAGGGATGTAATTTTTGGGGTGAGTTTATATTTGACTGAATGATCCTACCTGATTGTAGGTGGAGCTTCTGAGACGGCTACGTTCTCCATATTTGCTGGCTTTGATTGGTTATTGCTCAGATAGTAGTCGTAAATTGCTTGTTTACGAGTTTATGGCGAATGGTGGTCTGCAGGAACATCTGTATCCCATTAGTGGTAAGTAAGCAGTAACCTTTGCTTAATAAAATTTTGATGTGCATAAGCTGTAATTGAGCTTTTTTATTCGAACCAAAACTTATCATCTAGAATATTGAACCAGGGATTGATGTAGGAGAACGGTATTCATAGCAACTGATTTACTGGTTTCATGCTGCAGGTTCTAACAATATAAACTTAAAACTGGACTGGGAAACCCGGTTGAGAATAGCTCTGGAAGCTGCTAAGGGATTGGAATATCTACATGAACATGTTAGCCCTCCTGTGATTCACAGAGATCTTAAGAGCAGTAACATCCTTTTGGACAAAAAATTTCATGCCAAAGTTTCTGATTTTGGATTAGCCAAGCTTGGACCAGACAAAGCTGGTGGACATGTTTCAACTCGAGTATTGGGCACCCAGGGATATGTTGCTCCTGAGTATGAAATAACAAACAATTGCTAAGTTAATACTTACACAGTTTTGTTATCAAATTATAACTGCCCCATTTGACGTTGCGTTTGGTTGCCACGATGTGCAGATATGCTTTAACTGGACATCTAACTACGAAATCGGATGTGTATAGTTATGGTGTTGTTCTTTTGGAGTTGCTTACAGGCCGAGTACCGGTTGATTTGAAGAGACCTCCTGGGGAAGCTGTTCTTGTATCATGGGTGAGTTTCATTTCCTTTTTTCTTGATCTAAATCCTGTTCAAACTCGTAATTGTTTCATCTTTTTTCTCTTCTAGTTATGTCTTTTACTAGTAAATCCTTGCATCTGTGTCGGTTGCTATTCTTCAAGTTTTTGTCTCCTGTTCGTGGTGCAGGCTTTACCACAGTTAACAGATAGGGAAAAGGCTGTCGGGATAATGGATCCGGCACTGGAAGGTCAATACTCGATGAAAGAAGTTATTCAGGTTGCAGCCATCAGTGCAATGTGTGTGCAACCAGAAGCTGACTATAGACCATTGATAGCAGATGTTGTGCAGTCACTGGTTCCACTGGTGAAAACTCACCGCTCAGCGGCCAAGGTCGGTATTAGCTGAAGCTTCCATTACTGCAAAGTTTCCTCAATCCATTCCGCCAAGTAGGTTTATCTAGAATAATCAAAACCAAAATGCCAATGCCCTTAGCTGAACTTAGAGTTGTAGCTCAGACAACTGCTCAGGGATGAAAAGGTCTAGATTGCTAGAATATTATTTGCCCATGTGGGTAGATAGCCCCTACCAAAGATGTCTACTATTTGTTTGATCAACAATATTACTAATCAATTGAAGTTAAGAGGTAACAAGAACAATAATTTGCTGGGGTTGGTTAAGTAAATAGGAAACGATCATTGGAATATGAGATTTTCATCTATTCAGAATATGAAAATCACATAACAAATACACCACCAAAAGATAAAATGTGGAAACTATCATTCGTACGCCGATGAACCACTAGTACTTCAAGACCCCAATTTAACACGCAATGCATATAACATGAAAAGTACAAGTCCAATCTTGATATGCATGTATATCTTGATACGTAGAAAATATTTTTAACTCAAAAGTTATAAATGTTTGCATACCATAGCAGATCAAGATTTTAATAGATAAATATATTTTAAGGTAAATTATGTGTTTAGTATCTAAATTATTAATTTTGGTCCGTTTTAGTACATAAACTTTTATTTTTTTTCAAAATCATACCTAAAGTTTAGTTTTTATTTCATTTTAGTACACCAATTCAAAATTTAACATTATTTTTTTTAAAATTAAAAGTTTAATTATTAAAACGGACCAAAATTGATAGTTTATGTACTAAACACGTTAAGTTTTTAATAGTGGGGGTACTAAAATGAAATAATAACTAAACACTAGGTATGATTTTAAAAAAATTGAAAGTTTATGTATTAAAACGGAAAAAAATGATAGTTTAAATATTAAATGCGTAGTTTGCCTTATATTTTACTTTAATAGGATATTCAAACTTTAGAGGTGAATTTGACATTAAAAAAAGATAAATTATACATTTATTATCTAAACTTTCAGTTTTGATACGTTTTAATACTTAAACTTTTAATTTTTTCAAAATCATATATAATATTTAGTTTTTATTTCATTTTAGTGCTCCACTGTTAAAAATTTAATACGTTTAATACCTAAACTATCAATTGTTTTAGTACCTAAACTCTCAATTGTTTTCAAAACTTTACATTAAATTTTGATCAAGGGTATTAAAATGAAATAAAAATTAAATTTTAAGTATGGTTTTGATAAAATTAAAAGTTTAGTTATTAAAACGGATTAAAACTGATAATTTAGGTACTAAACTCGTAATTTACCCTTAAAAAATTACCAACATAAAAAAAAACACAAACCCGATGTGATTGAACCCGAAGCTATGGGTATCCTTCATGATTTTTTTTTTTTTTGAAATAAGGGTATCCTTCATGATTTGACCGTTTGATAACGGAGACGTTGAACATATGTTGAGATCGCTTCACAGTTCTTTCTCTTCTCCAGAGATCTCTCTCCGTCGCATTCTCATCTCAATATTTCGAATTTTCAGCTGCTAAAAAATGGCGGCTGTCGCCGTTCACCAGTTCGTTCAGTGCATCACTTGCCATGCTTGGAGTCCCGATCAATCCAGTACCTTCTAATGCTTTTTTTTTCTTTCTTTCTTTTGAATTTCGAAATTCCGTTCCGTCTCTTCATCTTTATGTTTTGTTTGGTTGCCGTGAACGTGTAGGACATAAAAAGAAAATAAATTCATTTTTTGCGTTTAAGATTGGTGTGATGTTATATTTGTCATGAAAATGTAAAATTGAACTACAAAATGAAATTAATGGTTCGATTTTACTGTTTCTTTACATTTTAGTTTCTCATCCTACATGGATCCCTTTTTTTTCTTTTGAAGCTTATATTAATACATGTTTTAGAACTAAAGATTTGGTCCTTATTATTCTAAATTGCTCTATATTATGTTTTCTGTGAATTATTTTTCTACATATTTAATTTGTGTTTTTCCTGCCTGCAGTGATAGCATTTTGCCCAAATAATAATGAGGTTCACATTTACAAATTGCTGCAAGACAAGTGGGAGAAACTTCATGTTCTTCAGAAGGTACTTTATTCAAAAAATTTCTTATAAACCACTAAGATATGATTTACTCCAATTATATATGCAGTATGTCTGAACTCATCTCTGGAAGTTCTTTGAAATTTCATTTTGTAATTATGTTACGTGGTACTTTTGTGACACCTCTTAAATTTCACATTGAATATGGCTAGAACCTAGGCTGAAACCACTTTTGGGTGAAGAAAAAAAATACTTTTTGAAAAGGAAAAGACAAGATGATATGCCGGTTCTTGTCTGAAATCTGAGTACTTCTTACTAAGTAAATAGAAGTACTGCTGCAGCATGGCAGACTGATTTAGATTTGGATTTCAACTTATGGTATGTTATCAGCCCACGTTTATACCACTTTTGCCTTTAACTGAAAGCGAAATATTCAGTGCATGAAAACCAGGATTAGGAACCCTAAATTGTATTGATATTCAATAATACTTTTGAATTCTTGACATATGCCTATGCTAGAATTGTTGGATATGCCTTGAACAAGTTAGTAGACAAGGAACACTAAGTTAAAATGGAAACACTTTAAACTAAAGCTTTCCTGTTGAGAACCATACTAAACCATGAGAAGCTCAACAGTCTAAAATCTTACAAAGAATCCACTCTCTTCATATTGAAGAAAATAAGCTTGTTCAGTCTTCTTTGTTCATTTGAAAGGAAATTCTATCTACCTTCATGTTTGGTTGCTGAATTTTCTTAGAAAATCAAAATTTATCTAGGTGTTGAAGTGACTACATTCATGAATAATGATTTATTTCTTTGTTAAGTTTTGCTTTTCTATGTTTTCTTTTTATCAGTGTGATGTTTCTTATGTCTTTCCACAGCATGATCAACTTGTTTCTGGGATAGACTGGAGCGGGACGTCAAACAGAATTGTTTCTGTATCTCATGATCGGAATTCGTGAGTAATTATCTTTTTTTAAAACACACACACAAACATGTGCAAATGAAAATTTTGGAGCTTGGACCATCCTCTTTCTCTTTCTGTGTGCCTTGACAAACACATGTAAACAGTGCCTACATGATCGTCGCGATTGTCTTTTTTTTTTTCATTTCTCTATAGCACTGTTATTGTGTTCTTTGTCTTCTGAGATTTGTGATCCCATTTGAAGATTTGTTTGGAACCAAGAAGGACCAGAGTGGGTACCAACTCTTGTCATTCTTAGGCTCAATCGTGCTGCACTTTGTGTTCAGTGGAGCCCCAAAGGTACATAAACATAATTTCGCCTGACATTATTGGGTATTCTTCACTTCTTTGTACTGTGCAATAAATTACCTTAATACACAGATTGGAACTTTCTTGGGTCTATTTATTCGGGTTTTTTTCTTCTTTCCCACAGTTACTAATAACAAAGCATGGCACCGTTGTTCTACAATTTGGCACATGCATATTACTTCAGGATTCACTGTTCTAGCAGCTTATTCACTGATGATTCTGCTTAAGCTTATAAAATAAAATAACATTTTTTTATAGAAAAAATAAAATAACATTTGACTTATGGAAATATAAATTATGTTGTGGACTAGGACTTCAGAATATCAGCTGGATTATTTGATAAGAAAAAAATTCCTTACGAAGTCAACAGCACTTGTTTTTGTGCTCCTATTTTGATAATTCTTATATGTCCATGTTCTTATGACGTTGAGGTCTGTTTTAGGAATACCACTGGCAACTGTAGATCCTTTCCATCTGCGGGTGAATTCCAAACATCGTGACGATCTCTTTTCTGCTCATTTTTTTTATCTACAATTGATGCTATATTCTCGTCTGCTTTGCTGTTTGTAGGTGGGTAAGCAAAGTAATCAGGAAAAAACATAATTCCTCTGTCACAGGTGTTTCTTGGCATCCTAATAATGTGCGTGTTTCCCACTTCACTGCATTTTGGATAAGTTTTTTTTTTTACAATTCTTAGTGTAGTTATATGGTCGCCTTTTTATTTAACTTTATTCTATGATGTGGAAAGTTGTCTTATGATAGGATTCATCCATCTTCATGTATTAGGGGGTATAGTTTGACTGTATTACATTGAGAAAAAAGAATTAAGGGAGTAGAATTTAGAAAAGTTAAAGATGTTTGTGTAGAAAGCAGCTGAGATACGCATTTAGTAAATAATAGTTTAGGAAGAAAAGAAACCTAGTAGGACTCTAGTGTGTAACACACATCTTATTTTAACAGGTTGTGTTTTTCTTGTTCTGAATAAGAAAATTAAGAGAAAACCTCTTTTTCCTTGAAATCTCACAGTTTGACATGAGCACATTAGCTTAATTTTCAATGGTTAAAAAGCCCCATCTCAATTCCCAAAACTATCTCTTTCTAGCAGATTAATAAATCTCGGTTAATTATGTATGTGTACATGTTTTCTTATATATTTATAAGTAGGATACTCTACATCAGACTATAGCTATAAATGGGTGAGCATAAACATATTTTGGGGAAACCTTTTAAGTGAAAAATGGACATGCTAGTTGTCATATTTTGAGAGTTGTGTTTGTCTTCACCTGCAGAACATCATAGCGTCATACCTATTCCATTTGGAAAATTTGCTTTAGATGCTTTTGAATTCATCTCTTATATTCTGTTTCATTAACTGGTATATGATGTATATTTTGGAAGAGAACAGCAAGTCTTATTGTCCATTTTGAAATTCTTTTTGGTACAGATTCTACTTGCTACAACATCCACAGATGGTAAATGCCGAGTATTTTCTACATTTATCAAAGGTGTTGATACAAGGTATGTCAAACACTGTTGTCTGGAGGCTAGCATTATTACTGTTTGGGGCACATTGGCATAATTTTTCCTTTTTAAATTTCCCAGGGAATCAAAAACAGGCTCTTCTTCAGATCCAAAGTTTGGAGAGGTACCATTCATGCCCCCACTTTAGCAGTAAATATTTAATGGTTGCATTTGATATGGAGGAAAAAAGTGGTGTTGCGACTTTTATTTATTAATCGTATATTTCCATGTCCACTGTTGTTGTAAACTCTACCAATAATTTAACCTAATAAAATCTTGAAAGATGAATATGGGTAATAGGCTAGAATTTTTCTTATTTCCATGTTAGTGATGCACCAAATTGAAAAATGTGCAATTAACTGCTGATTGCCGAAAGGGAAAATCATCTTTAATCAGTTGAGCCTCAGTGATTAGGAGGCGCAATTCCATGTGCAATCTATTTGTTTTTTTTTTTCATGTATCGACCTTGAAACTGGATAGCACTTATTGATGAATGATCTGAATTTTACATTTTTTCAGTTTTATAATATACTGGTTTACAGAATGACAAGGTAATTTCCTAGGAAAGCAGCCTTATTTTATGGTTTTCAATTGTCAAAATTCCAATTCCAATTAGAAAGGAAACATTATGCCAGTACAGCCATATAGATTTTTTTTTTTGGTTTTAATTCTGTATGCTCTAGTGGGCCTTCTCTTTACCCAGGGAATGATATTTTTATAAACCTTGTAATAATGGAAAATGTTGCAAAACATTCATCTAGTGACCAAGTGAATCTTGGTAAAGTCTGTATGATGTCAAAATTTTCATTAGTAGCAACAAATATAATCTTAAATTATGCTATACAGCCACACATTGTTGTATCCTAAGGTGCCTCTTGTTTTAAAAATTGTAGTTTTTATAAAGACTATCGGAACACTGATATCCTGAAAAGGCTGAACAAGTTGGAATTGCAATTTGTTTTCATTTGATGGGTTAATTGACATGTTGAAGTTAATTCTTAATAATTTCCATTGCGTCAAAAGTAGTAGAGGCATGGAAGGATAACTTCTATATTTTGTTTAATCAATTGGTCCAAGTGTTTAACATAAAGGAAGAATGCTGAATTGTTTTTCTTTTTATGTATGCGAGTTTCTTGAAATGTGGAATTGAATCATTTAATTACCCAAATTGTTCATGCCTCAGATGGACCCATGAATATTTATATTGACTACTTTATATTTGCTTAATTGACTTGCTAAATTCTTATTTATTCCTTTACTTTAGTTGATCTCAGGGTTCTGCAGTTTCATTAACCTTTTTTCAATGCAAAGAAGAACTAACATTTTCTTTTTCTTCCTCGACACTTACTCAACAGCAAATACTTCAGCTTGATCTGTCATCGTCATGGGCATTTGGGGTGAACTGGTCACCAAGTGGAAATACTTTGGCTTATGTAGGTAAGAAATATTTCTATCTAATTTTCATTTCCAAAGATAAAGTTAGTAGCATGGTATTAACTTAGAGAACCATGTTTCTCCCCTTATCCTCTTAAACAACCAATTTTGCATTTTGACTTGGTTAATTGTTTGTTTAGTTTCTAGTTTAGGGAAATTTTGTTGGGAAGTAATCCAAATTTACATTTAATTTTTGGTTGGTCAATAGAAGCCATTGCATGAAACCTCTAAACTACGTTGGTTGTGCCTAAATTTTAATACTTCATCAATCACCCCCAGCTACCTTTTTAGGGGAACATTTGTTTTGTGTCTTAGAGCTGCTTGTAAAAGTTTCCTTAACCTCTATTTATCTATTTACAGGTCATAATTCTATGATTTACTTTGTTGATGATGTTGGTCCTTCTCCATTGGCCCAGAATGTTGCAGTCCGTTATTTGCCACTTCGTGATGTGGGTCAGCGTTCACTCTAGTTAACTGCTTTTGTTTCCCTCTATTTTGGGCTTAATCATAAACATTATTTCTAATCTTGATTTTAATGTAATATCATAAATTTCCATCAGGTCCTCTTTGTTTCTGAGAAAATGGTCATAGGTGTGGGATTTGATTGCAATCCAATGGTTTTTGCAGCAGATAAATCAGGATTATGGTATATAAGATTCATTGTCATTGTAATTTTCTACTTGCTTCATTATATCAATAAGGTTTTTGGTCTTGTTTTCTAGGAGCTTTATCAGATTCTTAGGTGAAAGGAAAGAATCTTCATCAGGTCCAAAATCTGGTTCTCAGGTATTTGTATCATAAGACTATTAGCCATTCTGATTCTGTAAGTGCGGCTTTTATGGGCTCTTTTTGGGTAGTAAGCTCAGCAGGTTGTCTACTCACTTGAGTGAATCGTGCAATGCTTGATACGGAATAAAAATATCTTTTGACAGACAGCATTTCTTGAAGTCTGCATGAATTAATATCATTTGAACACTATTTACCACTGCATTTACGTCTGTCACAATTTTTATATCCAGCCATGTCTTTTAGTTATTCCTCAATCCCCAATATAGCTGTTTTCATTCTTATTTTTTTCAGAACTGTTGTTTCTTGGCACTGAAAATAAGAAAAGAAGCTCACTGCAAGTACCATTTTGTCATAATGGTGCCTTATCCTCCCAAGAATGTGGGGAAAAGTTTTAAGCCTTGGATTGGAGCCAAATCATTTTAAATTTACCTTTTCATTTCCTTCAGTCATGGAAGGAAGGGAAGGGTGTTACAGAAGTTGTGGAAAATGATGGCGAAAATGGTTGGGTGGTTTTGTAATAGTTAGGGAAAGCATGGAGAGACGTTTGGATTCCATTATTTGAAACATTTTTATAGCTTTATGAGAATGGAGGTGTCAATTGTTTATAGATTTCATTTCTGTCTGAAACTCACTGGTAATTTAACGGTCCTTATGAATAATGTTGGGTTGAACTTTGCATTTTGTCATTTCTTTCCAGATTTCTGAAGCATTTGGCAAGTTATACGGTCAATCAAGGCAAGGATTGAGCAATGATACGGTTGAACCTTCTAAGATTCAAGGAGCTGCTCATGACAACTGCATCAAGTAGTTCTCTGCCCATTTTGTTGTTATTGAATATGATATGGTTTTTCTCTGAAAGAATCCTAGGCTGCTTATTTGACCACTTAGTTCTGAATATAGAGTGGATAATTGTTGCAAAGAAGTTCCTTTCCCCCCCCCCCTAAAGAATAAAGCTTAATGTTGTACATTTTATCTTGTTAAAACTGCAGTTGTATTGAACTCCTAAAACAAAAAGGTCCGAAAACAAAGCGCTTCAGCACGTCAGGTGAGTTTCGCTGCTTTTTCTATTTAGAAACTGCTAACTTTCAGGACTAGAATCAATCTCAGTTGAGGGGTTTTGGACTCGCATTTCTCATTATTCCGCTATTCGAATATTTCAGGAATGGACGGAAAAGTGGTAATTTGGGATCTGGACAACCAGCATGATCTTAGGGAGTATCTGTAAGAAGTGCTTGGTGATTTTTTTCCTTCTTTTTCACTTTTGGTCAGGTAACAGAATGACAATAATAGTGAAGCGTGTGGTATATATATACATATATATATATATGTGTGTGATTCTGTAATCTTGGAGAAAATGAAACTTATAATACATTATTAGGTTTATTTTTATGTTTGATTTAGTGCAGCGGAATATTAGCTGAGAGCTCTAATGCATATTATGTTCGTGCTTTTCTACAATTTTTGTTTGTGGACTGTATTCCAATTACTACAAATCCATGTCCAAGAATCTACACTTTACAGTACCAAAAGAAAAACAAAAACTTAACTTTTTACAACTTTCCATTATTTTAACCTTCTAAATTTCTTTCCATTTCACCAATCCCAAACTCATTTTGGTCTCTCTAAGATCGCAAATTAGTGAATCATATTCTTTAACATTTTAGCAATGGTTCAAAAGTAGACAAGAAGAAGAAAGGCTTTCATAAGCAGTAAAAAAGAACCTTGATTTCATAATTTAATGTACTGGTAATATTTCCAGGCATGAATACAACAACAGAATCTCATAATTATAATTGCATGGCCACGGGCCATTCAAAAATCAATCTTGACCCATGTTTAATACTGCTCACAACCTATACCATATCATAATTGAATGCCATATCATATACTGTATCTCAACCGACAACATATCCAGAACAAGCACTATGAATTGTGTGTTCTTCAGACATAATTTTATCATAATATACGGCTGTCATTTCTTGGTTCCGAACTGGCCTCCGGTGTAAGTCTGTCCAAAGGACCAACTGGAAGGAGCAACGTTGAAAGAAACAACACTGTGACCATTACTGGTTGTGACGATGAAAGAGAGGCTCTGACCATTAAGGTAAGAATTGCTTTGCCAGTTCTGGCCCCAGTTCCTGGACATTTTTTGCCATCTGGTCTTTGAACCTTTAATGGCCACCGAATGTACATCACCTGCACCTCCAACGTTGGTGATCAGCACCAAATTGAAGTAAGAATGTCCATTAATTGTGAACCTTATACCCCCACTTCTCCTACACTTCAACCTGAGAAAAATAAACAAAAGAAATATTTTAAATTGCAAGGGTGTCGGTGGAAACAGGAAAATGGGTTTTCGAAATATATTTTGTTTTCGGGTAAATTATATTTTTCATCACTTAATTATCTTTTCACTCTTATTTTGGTCATATAAATTTAATATTTTTTAGTTTAATGAGTAAACTTTCAAATTATTCATGCTTTGGTCATTCCCTGATGTCATGCATTATTTTAATATTATTTTTATTATGGTATTATATACTTTGTCAACATTTGATGCCAAATATATTTTCAAATAAAATATTTTCAAACGCCAAATCATATCCCAAAATACAAACTCTAGTACATACACATTGGTGGGATGTTAGGGTTTGGAAGTTACTATTTTAGAGTTTAGGGGTTGCAATTTGGAATTTGGGTGATGCGATTTGAGGCTTGAGTAGTGTGATTTAGAGTTTGTAATTAACGGTCTAAATAATGTGATTTAGGATATGGATGCAATTTAGAGTTTAGGGATTAAAATTTAAGATTTTTAGATGTTATTTAGGGTTGAGGTTTGAAAATTAGGGTTTAAAGTTTAGGTATATGGTTTGAGATTTGATTTGGGATTTGGTTTTTTTTTATATTTTAATTCTGTGGTAGAGATAATAATAGAATATGACACATCATTAAACAAATTAATAAAATAAGTCAGAGTGATTAAAATAGAAGTAGTTTGAAAGTCTAGTTATTAAATTGAAAAGTTTTAATTTTTAGTGACTAAAATAGGAGTAAGAAGATAGTTGAGTGATGAGTAGGTGTAGTTTACCCTTTTTTATGTAACTTACAGGGACAATACCAGCTCTACATTGGGCAATGTGTTCGAAAATAGGTTGCAAGAGGTCGAAGTGGTGATTATGAGGGTCACACTAGCCTCCCGGAGGGCAGAAGTTAGTGGTGGTGACGACAATGGAGCCGAGCAGGCACCATTGAGGGTCAGTCACACACTTGAGCTCATAGCATGCACCATAACTCAACCCATTGTCGAACAAGGCAGTGCTCAAGGCTGTCGTGTTAATACCATAACCTTGGCTAATTAGGTTCCCGTATCCACAAGCTCTCCACCTACAGCAGATACTAAGAATCAATAAGAAGAAATGTATATGTATATCAGGGCCGACTCTGGGATTTTTTTTTGGCCCGGGGCGAAATAAAAGAAATGAGCCCCTATTTATGTTCTTTATTTATTTGCCCGGGATGAAATAAAAGAAATGGACCCCTATTTATTTCTTTATTTAGCGACAAGTAAGTGTTGTTTGTCTGAATCAATTGTTTAACGGAGCATTGTTACTGCAAAATCTTGTAGTTCTAAATTAATAGGCACTATGGAAAATATTATGGGCCCTGGGCAGGCACCCGACCCTAATGTGTATGTGTATGCGCATACACATACGCATACGCATATGCATATATATACGCATACGCATACTATTGTATATGTATATGTATATGTATATGTATATGTATATGTATGTTACGGAATACGTCTATCAGATAGAGCAAAATCGCAATTGATAATTTGAAAAAATAAAAATGAAGATAAATAAGACATAAATTTTACGTGAAAAACCTCTAAATAATATAGGGTAAAAACCACAAGCAACGATAGAAGAATTTCACTATGAGAAAATATGAATTATAACTTCTCTCGATCTACTAAGGAGAAAACAATGACAATTCTCTCTTAATAAAAATGAGAAAACAACTCCCAAGAAAACTCTCTAAATTCTCTAGTATTGGGAGAAAGTTAGAATGATTTGGGATGGTTTTAAACCTAAATGGGTTATGGTATTTATAGTTGAAGCTTAAGGACTAATCTTATAAATACCCTAAAATATAGGGACTAAATGTGCATTTTTACCATCCATGAATTTCAACAATTTCTGTCAATTTTCAACAATGCTTTTGGTGGCCAAGTTGGGCACCGAATTCACTAGATGTAATTGTTGACTTTCAACAATCTCCCACTTGAAGATTTGATTGGAACAATCATATCTTCATACCATTCTTTCTACCTCGTACCATCATGTTGCTTACGTCTCTGACAGGACACAAGAGGATCGACACCAAATAAATTTATCGGCATTGATCGCATTCGTCATGAAATCTACTATGTTGTTTTTGGTATGGATCTTTTGCATATCTACCGTCCCTTCTTCCACCTTTTCATGAATGAAATGGTACTGAACTCGTATGTGCTTTGTCCTTGAATGAAATGATGGATTCCTTGCTAGATGCAAGGCGCTTTGAATGGCACAAAACAGAGAGATATACTCTTGATTGTGCCCAAGCTCTTCCAATATCTTTAACCAAATTGATTCTTTACTGGCTTGTGTAGCTGTTACATATTCTCTCTGTTGTGGATGTACCCACAACTGACTGCAATTTTGAAACCCAACTTACAGCTCCACCAGTAACTTTGAACACATATCCTGTAGTAGATTTGATTTTATCCAAATCCCCTACACAGTCAGAATCGAGATACCCATTGATAAGTAAGTTTGATCATTCGTAACATAATGCAATATTTGAGGTCCCCTTGATGTATCTCAAGATCCTCTTTACTGTATTCCAATGCTCTTTGTCTGGATTCGCCATGTACCGACTAACCACTCCCACTGCTTGTGCAATGTGTGGTCTTGTGCATATCATATCGAACATTAAACTTCCCACTGCCGATGCATACGATACTCGAGACATCTCCATCATATCTTGTTCACTGCTATGACTCATACTGGAGGATAATTTGAAGTTAATAGGAAGATGGGTTGAAATTGGTTTACAATCTTGCATGTTGAATCGTGACAAGATCTTCTTTAAGTAATTCTTTTGTGAAAACCAAATCTTCATATTACTTCTATCTCGGTGAATTTGCATCCCTAGAATCTTGTTTACTGATCCCAAGTCCTTCATTTCAAATTCCCTAGCCAATTGTGCCTTCAATTCTTCAATATGATCTTTGTTGGGTCCTACAACCAACATGTCATCCACATACAACAACAATATAACAAAATCGTTATCACCAAACCTCTTGAAATAAGCACAAGGGTATGCATTAAGTCTGTTGTATCCAAGACACATAATAAAGGAATCAAATCTCTTATACCAACACCTCAACGTCTACTTTAGACCGTACATAAATTTTTTCAACCTGCAAACCAAGTTCTTCTTTTCTTTTTCTTCAAAACCTTCAGGCTGGAGCATATAAATCTCTTCTTCAAGATTTCCATGAAGAAAAGCTTTTTTTAACATCTAGCTGCTCTAGATGTAAATTCAATGTAGCACACATTGCCAAGACTACTCAAACTGTTGTTAGTCGAACCACAGGAAAAAAGATTTCATTGAAATCAATACCTTCTTTTTGAGCATATCCTTTGACCACCAGTCTTGCACGATACCTCTCCACTTGATCGTCACCATTTCACTTGATTTTATAGACCCATGTGTTACCAATTGGCTTCATTCCTTGTAGTAGTGGCACAAGGTCCCATGTATTATTTTTATGAAGGGCTTCAGTTTCTTCTTGCATTGCCATCATCCACAGTGAAACATCTGAGCTGTTTATTACCTCCTGGTATGTTGATGGCTCATCGTTCTCTATTTAAAGGCAGTATACAATATTTTCTTCTATAACATAATTCGAGTGCCAATTGGGACATCTTCACACACGATCTGATTGACGAGTTGTTGGAGCTTCAGAACACTCTGGTTCTTGTTCATCATGTGCTGGTTTTGCTTCAGAAGAATCTCCTTGTTCAACCTCCTTTCCATATGTATCTGTGTAGTCTCTGACTTTTCAGCGTTATTATCTTTTTCTTTTCTTTGTAGTTTATCTTTTACAAAGATAACATCCCTGCTGATGATCACTTTACAGGCAGTGGGATCCCACAAGCGATACCCCTTTACTCCATCAGCATACCCCAAGAATTTGCATTTCCTGGATTTTTTTTGATCATATATCTCCTTAGCTGTCTTTTACTCCTCAATGCTTGACAATACTTCATCTCCTCAGGATGGCCATCATCTTCAATTTCTACAATGAGAAATTTCTCCCATTGAACTTTTCAATATCAAATTTCGTTGCCATAGCTTCTAATACGGATAGCTCCCACTATTTCACTATCGTGAATAGTTCTCTAGAACCTTCAAAGAATAGGTAATACATTCTTACTTTCTTATGTTAGAGGATTCACCTTTTGGTGGCAACCACAAAGACAATAAGTAGATATTACACACTCAAATCTAGCTCTGATGCCAATTGTTGCGGAATACAGCTATCAGATAGAGCAAAATCGCAACTGATCATTTGAGAAAATAATAATAAAGATAAAGAAGACACAAATTTTATGTGGAAAACTCCTAAATAATATAGGGTAAAAACCACGGGCAACAGTAGAAGAATTTCACTATGAGAAAATAGGAATTACAACTTCTCTCGATCTAACAAGGAGAAAACAATAACATTTCTCTCTTGATAAAAAGGAGAAAACAACTCTCAAGAAAACTCTCTAAATTCTCTAGTATTGGGAGAAAACTAGAATGATTTGGGATGATTTTGAAGCTAAATGAGTTAGAGTATTTATAGTTGAAGCTAAATGAGTTAGAGTATTTATAGTTGAAGCTTAAGGACTACTCTTGTACATATCCTAAAGTACAGGAACTAAATGTGCATTTTTATCATCCATGAATTTCAACAATTTCTGCCAATTTTCAACAATGCTTTCGGTGGCCAAGTTGGGCACCGAATTCACTAGCTGTAATTGTTGACTTTCAACAATGTATATGTATATGTATATGATGATTTTGGATTGTGAGAAGTACCCATTGTGCCAGAAGCATCACCACCTCCATAGAAAGTGGCATGAGCGTTGATCCATGGTCCAAGGGTTCCATGAAAAAAGTTGAGTGAGAGTAATACAGCTACAAGAAAGTATCCCCAATGCCCCATCGTCCTGAATACGAAAAACATACTACATGAACAAATATATATATATATATATTTAACTTAAAGTTTATCACTAATGGAGCAGTGGAAGAGGAACCTTGAGAAAAAGTTTTTGTGGAACAGAAGAGGGTGTTTGAACTCATAAATAGAGTGCAACAGTAATGTCTTTAATGTAAAATTTTCAGTTTTGCAGAACTTACTCAATTTAACTTGCGGTCGTTGTTTAGTGTCAACTTCACAAGTGACTGAACACAACTTGAGGACATTGGGACCAAGCAACAGCGATAGTGGTTTTGCAAGGCTCGAACCGCGTGGGTTTGTTGTGGGACAAGCAGCCGCGAATCCTTATGTGGGATCTAAGTGAATATGGCTCACATTTTATGCTAACAATATTGGGTGAAATGATGCCGGAGACCAGACCAGAACTGGCTTCATGTAAGAGTGAAAAAAATTAATTCCTGTGAACATCTATTTGGGGCCAATAATGGTGAAATATGAACTTTTATTTGATCTCGGGAAGAAGAAATTCAATTCTGGCTCAATAAGCAAGCAAAGGACGCTTCTTTTCCAAGTCATTTTACCATAACTACACAAAGGTCAAATAATCCTTTTTCCCCCCATTTTGCATAGGGTTTTTTTAGTGTCCTGTTAGCATAAACATGACCAAATTTATATGGTCTAACATTAATATCTAATTGAATTCAATGAGCGGTCTATGATAAAAGGAAATATTGTTCTTTTTAGAGATTTTGAATTCGAGCAACAAAATCTACAAGGTGTGTGTATTGTCAATAACTAAAAATGATTATAAACATATATTATCTTATAATCACATCCTATTTTATTCAAAATAAAAACATTAATATCAAATTATGTCACGTAATTAATTTTTTTAAAAGTTGAAATTCATAATATATATTTGAAAAATTAATTACAAGAGTTGATTTAAATTAAGTAATGCAGGTTAAATCCAGTTGCTTGGAATATTGTTACTAAGCATAGTCATGGAAAGGAACTCGGTGACAAAGGTTAATTGCAAGATCCAGGCTGTCGGAACTCGACTGGGTAATTGGAAAAAAGCGCGTAGAACAAAGGAAGAAAAAGAAGAAAAGACTCTCTAGTCAAGGATTGAGCAACTCGAAGCAGACCGGATCACAGAAGATTTCATGGAAAAGCTGATCCAAATCAAAGGGGAACTCAAAGAGCTTATTGACAAAGATGAAACTTACTGGAGGCAGAATCTAGAGTGACTTGGCTCAAGGAGGGAGATATGAATACCTCTTTCTTCCATACCAGAGCTAATGAGAGAAAGAAGAAGAATTGGATTGCAGAACTAAAAGATGTTAACAGAAAATGGGTTGACAAACCACATGAAGGTTTTGATGTTGCCACCAATTTCTTCTCATTTCTTCGCTCTTCTAGGATGGAACCTTCAGAAGCAATCCTTGAAGCCATTTATAGATGTGTTACTACATAGGATAATTCCATGTTTTGTCGAGAGTTCACTGCCAAGGAGGTCCTTTAAGCTTTCTCTCAAATCAATCCTAATAAAGCCCCAGGTATTGATGTTATTTCTGGCTCTTTCTATAAAACTTTTTGGGATTTTGTTGGTCATGATCTTGTGAGTCTTTGTCTTGATCTTTTGAATGGGCGTGCTAATTTTGATGAAGTTAATCGAACGATTATTGTTCTCATCCCTAAGATTAATAACTCTGATTCTATAAAAAAAAACTTCAGACCAATTAGCCTCTGCTTTTACAAAGTTGTGTCTAAAGTAATTGTGAACAGTCTTAAGTTTGTTATTTCTAAATGTATAACCCTGAATCAATGTGCTTTTGTTTCTGGGAGAAAAATCACTGATAACTTCCTGGTAGCTCATGAACTCATTCATTACCTTAAAATTTCTAAGAACAGTCCTAACAAAGGGACAACCCTTAAATTAGACATGGAAAAAGCTTATGACAAGGTGAAATGAAACTTTCTCCTGAGGGTCATGGATCAGATGGGCTTTAATTAGGGCTTTGGCTCTTTGATTAGGAGATTTATTTGTTCTATCTCTTATCAAATTAGGATTAACGGGCAATTGCCAGACTGCATCACTCTGGAAAGAGGATTCCGACTAGGAGATCCCCTTTCCCCGTATCTATTCCTTTTTTGTGCGCAGGGTTTGTCTGTACTTCTTCCTGATGCACAATAGAAAGGGCTTATCAAATAGTTGAGAAATAGTGTGTGTGGCCCCACAATTACTCATCTTCTTTACATCGACGACAACCTGCTATTCTTCAAGAACTCTATGACGGAAGCTCAATAGGTGAAGGACATTCTCAATACTTATGAGCAATCCTCTGGACAAAAGGTCAATTACGACAAGTTCAGCATATACTTTAGTATCAATACTCATTTAGATCACCGAAGAAGCATAGACAAGTTTTTGGTGTGGTCGAAAGGATGAACTGGGATCATATATTGACCTCTCGCTCACAGTAGGAAAAAGAAAAGTTTCTTCAAGAACTCTATGACGGAAGCTCAATAGGTGAAGGACATTCTCAATACTTATGAGCAATCCTCTGGACAAAAGGTCAATTACGACAAGTTCAGCATATACTTTAGTATCAATACTCATTTAGATCACCGAAGAAGCATTAGACAAGTTTTTGGTGTGGTCGAAAAGGATGAACTGGGATCATATATTGACCTCTCGCTCACAGTAGGAAAAAGAAAAGTATTTACTTTAAGTTTTATTAAGGATAAAACGATTAAAAGAATTCAAGGCTGGACCAATAATCTCTTTTCATTTGGGGTAGAGAGTTCTTCCTCAAATCAGTTGCCCAAGCTCTTCCCCCCGTATGCCATGTCAAGCTATCTTCTTCTAGAAAGCATTATTGAGGACATTACTGCACATATTAGATCTTTCTGGTGGTCAGGAAAGCACAATGCGAGGGGATGAGCTATGGTCGCGTGGGAAAAAGTTTGCAGAGCAAAGCGTCAAGGGGGCCTGGGTTTCAGAGATCTTAAGATGTTTAATCTCGCACTACTTGGTAATCAAATACATAGATTTATCCAGTCTCACAACTCCCAGACGTTTAAAGTTTTCAAAGCAAAGTATTTTCCTAATTTATCCTTTATAGCCAAATTAGGGGATAGGGCCTCATACTCTTGGAATAGTCTCTTCAAAGCAAAAGTAAAACTTGAAAGATGGTTTCTTTTGGAGGATCAGGTTTGAGGGAGAGGCCAGAATGTTCCTTGATATGTGGGGGGATGCATCCCCGATCATGTGGTCATGTTTTTATCGGGATAATGAGGATTCTTCTTTTAAATGCGTTGACTTTATGCTCTCAAATGCTCCTTGATGGGATGAAGCAAAGATTCAGCAAGTGCTCACCCCCAAAGATGCTAACAGAGTTCTTGGAACTCTTATTGCCCCCAACTAAGAATATATATTGATATAGAGTCATTATAACACCGAGTGCTACTCAGTGAAGTTAGGATACAACTGGCTTCTTCTTTAGAAAAATCTCTCCACTAATCAGGGAAAGATATGGAAAACGCTCAGGAAACTGTCTACCTTGTCCAAAATAAAGATTTTCGGGCGAAGAGTGTGTCATGAGGCAATCCCTACAGGGGAAAAATGAAGAAGGGGCTTGTCTGAGGGGATAAACCCTTTATGTGGTAGTGAACTGGAAACAACGATTCATGCTCTCGAGGACTGCACTAAGACTCGTACTATCCTCCAAATCTCAGGGCTTAAATCTTTAATCATTGATTGACAAGGGAACTCTTATAAGGATTGTCTAAAATAGGCAGCTTCTCAGATGGACATGGATGGACTCTCCAGGCTCTTGGTGCTTCTATGGAAGGTGTGGAACCAAAAGAACAAATGGCTGCAAGATGATAGAGAATTGGTGGCCGTCGCTTGGGGGTTATGCGCAGAATTCGTTGAAGCCTGTTCATGTAGAAGATTCATCACTCCCCATCAAGGTTTGTTTAAGTCGCCCGTTTGAAGTCGCCCAAAGCCAAATTCTGTATAGATTAATGTCGATGGGAATTTTAACATTAAAAAGCCACAGCTGTAATAAGTGTCGTTGTCAAAGATCACAACGAGATGGTACTTGGAGTATGTTCTGCCAAATTGACCCACCCTTCACGGCTGAATCGACAGAAGTAGTAGCTTTTACACAAGTGCTTAAGTTCACAATTGAGAACGCTTGGATGGACGCAATATGTCAGCCATATATTTTTTTAAACAATTCCTTATTTGAAAACATTTTAATTTACTTTAAAATAAAACATACATTTAATAAGATAAACCATCAAAAAGAGAGGTTCAACTTTTCACCGTTTACAGAAGTTTAATTCAAAAGATTTTCAAAGCATTTCTTTCTCTAAACCTATTACATGCCGACTAAAATACATCAAAAGTAGACATTTAAGTCGTATTGTTACTTACCAGGTGATTCCAGCTTGGATGTCTATTGATCTCCTTACTTAGCGGGTATTCTACCTACACATGAAATAAACACAAGTTAAGCATTACTTAGTGAGACATACTTAATCATAAGTGAAATTCTAAACTCAATTTATTTAATTATAATTCACGTTTCAAGATATTCTTTCAATTCAATAAACACTCTAGGGTTTACATTTGTAGTGCTAATACTGTCATTTCTTAACCATTTATATCATCTATGTGGTTTGCATACCCATTACCAATATAAAGATCAATTTCCTTATTATGTAGTTCTTATGTTTATACACACATTTCCCATATGGAAATTCATACATTTAGTATGAATCTCTTAACGATTTGCACACAAAAGTGCCCAATAAGGAAATTCATACACTTAGTATGAATTTCTTAACATTTTTACATACGAAGTGCCCAATATGGAAATTCATACACTTAGTATGAATTTCTTAACAATTTGCACACGAAGTGCTCAATACGAAAATTCATACACTTAGTATGAATTTCTTAACAATTTGCACACGAAGTGCCTAATACGAAAATTCATACACTTAGTATGAATTTCTTAACATTTTGCACACGAAGTGCCCAATACGGAAATTCATACACTCAATATGAATTTCTTAACATTTTGCACACGAAGTGCCTAATACGTAAATTCATACATTTAGTATGAATTTCTTAACAATTTGCACACGAAGTGCTCAATACGGAAATTCATACACTTAATATGAATTTCTTAACATTTTTGCACACTTAGTGTCATTTGGTAATAACCATACATACATTAATAATTTCTACAACTATGCCTATTGTAGCATGTACGTACATAATTAAATGCACCCACCTGGCTCGCCTTGCTTAGATATCCAAAATGAAAAGATGATTACTCCGGAACTTGGCCCTTGTCTTTTGCCTTACTCGACTCGGGAGCTTGATTTTGATATATCCCATATTCATTAAATACATGCATAATATCAATTATTAGTATATTTCCTAACAATTATACTTAAAAATTAATCAAAAGTACTTATTAACCTTTCTACCAATATCAGCCTATCTTAAAATTTATGGCTCTTCAGTATCGATACACCTACCATGGTATCGATACTACTATACTATGGTACCGATACCCCCTTCCGGTATCGATACCAATTTTAGATTCGATGTTACATGGTTTTGATACCCTTACCATGGTATCGATACTACCATACTATGATACCGATACCCTCCTATGGTATCAATACCATTTTTGCATTATGTTTCCAAATAATTTCAAAATGGTATCGATACCTTCCATTCGGTATCAATACTCCCCCTTTGGTATCGATACCGATTGAATCAATATCGATACTACTTAATTAATTCATCTCATTTTAGCCTATAATATTGTACTGTTCTATCAGTACCGATACTCATACCCAGATTTTCCAGTTTTCAGCCCGATACATACCCAAATTTGGCCAATTTTCCTCTCATTTACCCCTAACAATACTATGTAACTCTTCTCTACTTAACCATACTAACTTTCCTTCATTTAGATACTTAAAACATCTAGTATCCATCAATAGCATTTGATTCTAAGAATCACACCAAAAATTCTAACTTGTTTTTACACTCATCCAATGCTTCTAATCTTTCATTTACCTCTTTGACAAGTCAAAACTACTAATAATCATCAATAAATATCAATATACTAACATATCATTATAAAACCCATTTTCTAAAATCTCTTTTATTTCCCTTATCTCATTGTTTTAATCTCATCTAAACCTTCCTTAAGCTTCCATAATATACAAGGCTTCAATAACCAACCAAAAATTAAGGAATAAACTAGTAAATTAAAAACTCACCTTTGAGCTATGGAGAAGCTTTGTTACGGGGAAAGAGGAAGAAAAAGGAAGAAGACTTTGTGTAACCTAATTCCCCTTTCCCCTTTTATTTAATACCAAATCATTCTTAAAGAGAGGGTCAACGTTGTAACATAAGCAGGGCTAGTGGGAGCCATGTCTTCCAAAATTAAAAAAAATTATAATTTAGATCCTTTAAATTTTCAAAAAATTTAATTTGGTTTCTCCAAAATTTTTAAAAATTCAGACTAAACTTTCAAATTTTTTACTGTTCTTAATTAAATCCCCTCCATAATCTTAAAAAATTTCTTATTAAGCTTCTCAAAATTTAAAAAATTTTAGTTACACCCTAATATTTTAGGGGAAAATATAAATTAAACACCTCAAAATTTTTTAAAATTTTAATTTAAACTTCCAAATATTTTAAAGTTTTATGTTGTCTCCAAATTTTATCATCAAGATCCGCCACTAAGAGGTCACTCATGTATTAATTAGCATTTGTGAGATGGGGGACAATATCGATTTGAAAACCTAGCAAATCACAATGTGGGTTCAAACAGGTCTAGGGTTTGGTTTAGATACAAAGGACCATAATTCTTCAACTAAGTAACTGAAAAATAAAATTACCGTGTATGAAAATTAGGAGGGAATCTACCCTGAGTTCATGTTGGGTGAATTGGGAAACGGTAGTGTAAGCGATGGATAATGACAATGCCGCTTAAACAATTGACAATGATGCGTGGCAGCACAAGAGAAGAGGGACATGGATGGAAGTACACACGCATATGCATGTGCCCATTCATTTCTGTCGCCCTAGGCATGTGGGAAGCCAATCATGACCACATACTTCATTTCAATATTAATGACTTCAAGTCCCTCACAACTCTGTCACCGTCAACAAAATTTAGGCTACCATATTAACAATAATTATCCATCTCCAAAATTATATGAATAATATTTTTTATTGTTTAGGACAATAACACATAATCTATTATTTAAGAAAACAAAACTTATTTCACATTCATTCAAAAAAGTGTATAACGTGATATTAGAAAATGTTATTTTTCTAGAGATCTTAGATTCGAGCAACAACTACAGGATGTATGTGTGTTGTCAATTGATTAAAAAATTCTGAACGAATACTACATTGTAACCGTCTCATTATATCTTTTAGAAAGTGCATTTAAAAATGATACATTTTTACTTACACGGAAAGAAGTTTGATCATAATTTTCAATATCAAAGTTGTTGGTTTTTTAGTTGTTAAAGAAATATTTTGAACTTTGATCAAACTCATATCATTACGTCAGTTAAAAGAAATTTTGGATACTATCTTTAATTATCGTATTGACATGTATTGACATAATCTGAAAGTTAAGTGATAATTTTGAAAAAATATTAAAAAAAATGTCTGATAGTGATAAAAATAAAATAAAAATTTGAATTTAGTGATGATTTAAAAAATTAAGTGATCAAAATGAAACTGTTGAAATTGTTGAATGGCCAAATATGTAATTTACTCTATTTTTTTAATGAAATTAAAGGAAAATAAGATAACAAATTAAACTTTAAGAAATAAAAGATATTAAAAAAATACTATAAAGGAAAATTCAATTGGCTATACATGTTTAAGTAGCAGTATGCATTTAAGCCTATCAAACTTTTAGATATGAAAGTGAGACTGTTTTTTTTTTTGTTGGCAAAATACCCCGGATTTATTATTTTAGGTTTTAGGGTAGTCAATTTTTATTTTGAGAAATATGAAAAAAAGTTACGGTTGACTTGAAACTCGTCACTTTGAGGTGACAAATTTCGTTAGATATTGTTTTTTAATGGTTCCACGATGAGTGAGCCCTAGGTGGGCCGTTATTATAATGTCTTTAATACGACTATTCACTTTGAGGTGACTAGTCTATTGAAAACTTTTTTTTTAATTTTCAAAAAAAAATTATAATTTTTAAATTTAAAAAAATAGAGGAACACGACGAGTTCCTTCAATTTTTTTTAAAAAATAGCCATTTTGTACCCATTGGTTAACGGGTAATATGAGCAACGGTCACTTGAAACTCGTCACCTCAAGGTGACGAGTTCGGCCGAATATTTAAATCCACTAGCTGTTTATAGTCGTTGAGGCTAAGGATATAAATAGGGGTTAGGGGTTTTGGTTTTCCACTAAATCCTAAATCCAAAAAAATTGCAAAAAAAAACATACATTCTGTGAAAATCTTGAAAATGGCTACATGAGAAGAAATGTTGCGCCTAAATAACGTCCATATTTTGACGACCAGACTCCCTCTGAAAGAATAACAAAGTATTCGTAACCGCTAGATGACATATAGAGAGCCGCATCAACGGATGCTGATATATCTGTAGCAATCTGATCTATTTCCAGCTATATATGTATGTGGCTTCAAGCTGTACCCGACATTGATTGAGGCTCTGATTGAACGTTGGCAGCCCGATAAGCACACGTTCCATTTCCCGAGTGGTGAAATGATGATTACTTTGGAAAACGTCGTTTACCAACTCGATGATTCTATGAATGGAGCTCCATTGGTGAGATAAAACATTTAAGACCCCATGACGTTGGTCTATCAAGTTTTGAGAAGGATGCCACAATTCGACGTCATCGAGGGCTATCAGGTAAGAATTATGTGGTTGGAGTCTGAATTCCAAGTAACGAATGACTCTACTGATGACGAGGTTATTTTTTGTGTCTCAAGCTTATCTTCACCAACTGATCGGAAGGGTATTATTACCGGATAAATACGGTAATTTGGCGCACACTCAGTATCAGTGAATTTTGGAAGACTTCGCTGAATGTCGCAATACCAGTTGGGGCATGACAATGTTAGCCTTTCTGTTCCGAGAGCTTTGTAAGGTTGCAATTGTGCAACAGGGTTGAAAAGCCGATGTACCAGATTGTCTAATACTACTGCAATTCTGGGGGTACCGGTTCCCGTTTTATGCATCAATTACCACAACCTCGGTCGATTTTCCTCTGGCTGCAAGGTAATTTTTTTTAACTTTTTTAATTTGATTAATTTAATTATTTTTATAATATTTTTAAAATTTTAAATATTTTAGATAGCGTCATAAAATAACCAAGACGAAGTTGTCGGGTGTCAATGCACGAGATATATGGATGAAGATCGACATCGCCGGTCGATATGCGATATACATTTGTTTATAATATTATTTTTTAGAAATTTTTTAACTTTATATATACTAACTTTGATATTTAATATTTACAGTTTTCTTAGCTTTCGTATGTTGATGACGAGATGAGCCAGTTGTTGTCAGCGTGGTTTTTGAGGTTGTTATAACATTTTATGATTGTTGAGTGGCACACCACTGATAGAGTAATGCGATAATTTACGTCGGATCAGCTGATTCCTACGCAAATCGTTGAAATGGACGCGCTCCATATCATTCATACGAGTGGGAAACATACCAAAAATCGGTCTGTGAAACACGCTTACTACATCGAGCTATGAAATCAACGTCAACTATCGGTCCCCCCGCGTTATGACATTACACTACTAGACCTAGATTTCGACAGCGTTACGACATTACACTACTAGACCTAGATTTCGATCATTCGCCATATCTCCAAAATTACGAAGCAAATGGAAAACCATATTTCATGACACCGCAAGATAGGGGAAAATGGGCACAACATCAGGCCACATGCGAGAAGTCCAAGTCCAAGTCCAAGAAGAAATCATCATCGTCTTTTTCTTCCGCTTCAGCATATGCAGCTGAAGATTACTATTATGCATCCCAAGCTAGTTTCGTTTCTATACTTCATATAATACTTCAACCAAGACTGGACCGACTTGGGTTGGAGGTTTATGGGATGCACCACAATACACTTAAGCATATTCGACAAGACATGTGGTTGCGGGTGAGTGGGATCATATCATATATGGTCAACAAAGTAGTAGCCAAGTCGAATCAGTTACGAAAATGATGGTGTCAAATACCATAAACCCATTATTTTGAAAGTGAATATCAGAGT